ACTAAAGATGGACAGAACCTGACCCTGTCTGATTTTGTAATAAGTCAAAAATGTAATGGCCACAGATGTGAATCTCTACTCAACATGACAACAGTGGACTTTCAACACGAAGGTAGGACTCTGATATTTGCTTGAAATAAAATATTGTAACAACATTGAATGGAATCCTAGGTGAAAGGATTTGTTAAACGTAGAAGAACTTATGGATCAATTTCACTTAAACCATGTAATTTCATCTACTAAGTTTAAATAAAAAAGATATACAGAAAACACGTTATTAATGGTTCAAAATCTAAGAGTTATTTGAAGAGGAAACCTTTCTAAAATGTCGATATTTTAAAAAGAATCAGAACTTAATTAAGCAAGAAAAAAAATCTTGTCAGGTGAATATGCCTGTGAAGCAGTACTGGATGAGTTGGACTTCTACGGCACTGGTACAGCAAATGCTTCTGTTGAGGTGTGGGAGAAACCTACCATTGCAATGGAACCTAATTTTACCACTGTCCAAAAGTATGAAAATATCTCAATCAGTTGTTACATTCTAAACGAAGACAAAGCCTATTATCTTCAAAATGATTCCTTGAAGTGGTGTTTTGCTGATGGCAGTGAAATAGCAGACGGTAAGTCATTCTGTGAACAACAAGTTATATAGGATGACATTCTAAAATTGATGAGATACATGTATTGGAAGATAACACATAGAAGTGAAATAATAATTAAAAATATTGGAGAAAATCTATTTGACTTACTTAGATGCATGTATCAACTACCAAAATAAACCTTGAGGAGCTACTTTTTCTTTTGCTATTTTTCCTTCCAGTAAATAACAGCACTAACTTGAGGCAGTCCTATTTCTTTGAAATGAGGAAATCCGTGTCAATTAATTGTGGATTCAACCACTGCTTGACAACAGGAAAAACAATCAATATTACAATGGTTCCGAAAGGTTAGTCTTATTATCTCTTATTCTGGAAATTTTACATCTTGCCATTCAATTATTGTAGTCATTGTGAAAGATTGAAAAAAAATCTGGCATTGTGAAAGTTTTGCAACTAACATCGCAATTGTTCCCTACCCTCTGCAGCTATGAGCTTATTTTTACAATTCATCTGATCAAGTCAAAAACATTTGAAGCATGCTGACAATAATTTTTCAATCTTTAACTCATATTTATTCAGAGAAGGACCACCAATGTTTGGGTACATGAGGCCAAATTTAAATCCTGCTCTAAGGATTTTAAAAGTCTTAATCAGGAGGAAATACATGTTTTTGTTTTCTTTCAGAGGTTAACTTAACAGTAGAAATAAGGAAAAGTTCACCATACCTCGTGGGAGATTTTGGTCATCTGAGCTGTGTTTTTGATTACAAATTTTCCAACTTTTCATGGTCGAGTCCCTCATTTTCGTGGACTAAAGATGGACAGAACCTGACCCTGTCTGATTTTGTAATAAGTCAAAAATGTAATGGCTACAGATGTGAATCTCTACTCAACATGACAACAGTGGACTTTCAACACGAAGGTAGGACTCTGATATTTGCTTGAAATAAAATATTGTAACAACATTGAATAGAATCCTAGGTGAAAGGATTTGTAAAGCATAGAAGAACTTATGGATCAATTTCACTTAAACCATGTAATTTCATCTACTAAGTTTAAATAAAAAAGATATACAGAAAACACGTTATTAATGGTTCAAAATCTAAGAGTTATTTGAAGAGGAAACTTTTCTAAAATGTCGATATTTTAAAAAGAATCAGAACTTAATTAAGCAAGAAAAAAAATCTTGTCAGGTGAATATGCCTGTGAAGCAGTACTGGATGAGTTGGACTTCTACGGCACTGGTACAGCAAATGCTTCTGTTGAGGTGTGGGAGAAACCTACCATTGCAATGGAACCTAATTTTACCACTGTCCAAAAGTATGAAAATATCTCAATCAGTTGTTTTATTCTAAACGAAGACAAAGCCTATCTTCTTCAAAATGATTCCTTGAAGTGGTGTTTTGCTGATGGCAGTGAAATAGCAGACGGTAAGTCATTCTGTGAACAACAGTTATTTAGAATGACATTCTAAATTTAATGAGATACATGTATTGGAAGAAAACACATAGAAGTGAAATAATAATTAAGAATATTGGAGAAAATCTATTTGACTTACTTAGATGCATGTATCAACTACCAAAATAAACCTCGAGGAGCTACTTTTTCTTTTGCTTTTTTTCCTTCCAGTAAATAACAGCACTAACTTGAGGCAGTCCTATTTCTTTGAAATGAGGAAATCCGTGTCAATTAATTGTGGATTCAACCACTGCTTGACAGCAGGAAAAACAATCAATATTACAATGGTTCCGAAAGGTTAGTCTTATTATCTCTTGTTCTGGAAATTTTACATCTTGCCATTCAATTATTGTAGTCGTTGTGAAAGATTGAATAAAATATGGCATTGTGAAAGTTTTGCAACTAACTTCACAACTGTTCCCTACCCTCTGCAGCTATGAGCTTATTTTTACAATTCATCTGATCAAGTCAAAAACATTTGAAGCATGCTGACAATAATTTTTCAATCTTTAACTCATATTTATTCAGAGAAGGACCACCAATGTTTGGGTACATGAGGCCAAATTTAAATCCTGCTCTAAGGATTTTAAAAGTCTTAATCAGGAGGAAATACATGTTTTTGTTTTCTTTCAGAGGTTAACTTAACAGTAGAAATAAGGAAAAGTTCACCATACCTCGTGGGAGATTTTGGTCATCTGAGCTGTGTTTTTGATTACAAATTTTCCAACTTTTCATGGTCGAGTCCCTCATTTTCGTGGACTAAAGATGGACAGAACCTGACCCTGTCTGATTTTGTAATAAGTCAAAAATGTAATGGCTACAGATGTGAATCTCTACTCAACATGACAACAGTGGACTTTCAACACGAAGGTAGGACTCTGATATTTGCTTGAAATAAAATATTGTAACAACATTGAATAGAATCCTAGGTGAAAGGATTTGTAAAGCATAGAAGAACTTATGGATCAATTTCACTTAAACCATGTAATTTCATCTACTAAGTTTAAATAAAAAAGATATACAGAAAACACGCTATTAATGGTTCAAAATCTAATCTAAGAGTTATTTGAAGAGGAAACTTTTCTAAAATGTCGATATTTTAAAAAGAATCAGAACTTAATTAAGCAAGAAAAAAAATTTTGTCAGGTGAATATGCCTGTGAAGCAGTACTGGATGAGTTGGACTTCTACGGCACTGGTACAGCAAATGCTTCTGTTAAGGTCTGGGAAAAACTTATCATTGTAATGGAACCTAATGTCACCACTGTCCAAAAGTATGAAAATATCTCAATCAGTTGTTTTATTCTAAACGAAGACAAAGCCTATCTTTTTCAAAATGATTCCTTGAAGTGGTGTTTTGCTGATGGCAGTGAAATAGCAGACGGTAAGTCATTCTGTGAACAACAGTTATTTAGAATGACATTCTAAATTTAATGAGATACATGTATTGGAAGAAAACACATAGAAGTGAAATAATAATTAAGAATATTGGAGAAAATCTATTTGACTTACTTAGATGCATGTATCAACTTCCAAATTAAACCTCGAGGAGCTACTTTTTCTTTTGCTTTTTTTCCTTCCAGTAAATAACAGCACTAACTTGAGGCAGTCCTATTTCTTTGAAATGAGGAAATCCGTGTTAATTAATTGTGGATTCAACCACTGCTTGACAACAGGAAAAACAATCAATATTACAATGGTTCCGAAAGGTTAGACTTATTATCTCTTGTTCTGGAAATTTTACATCTTGCCATTCAATTATTGTAGTCGTTGTGAAAGATTGAATAAAATCTGGCATTGTGAAAGTTTTGCAACTAACTTCACAACTGTTCCCTACCCTCTGCAGCTATGAGCTTATTTTTACAATTCATCTGATCAAGTCAAAAACATTTGAAGCATGCTGACAATAATTTTTCAATCTTTAACTCATATTTATTCAGAGAAGGACCACCAATGTTTGGGTACATGAGGCCAAATTTAAATCCTGCTCTAAGGATTTTAAAAGTCTTAATCAGGAGGAAATACATGTTTTTGTTTTCTTTCAGAGGTTAACTTAACAGTAGAAATAAGGAAAAGTTCACCATACCTCGTGGGAGATTTTGGTCATCTGAGCTGTGTTTTTGATTACAAATTTTCCAACTTTTCATGGTCGAGTCCCTCATTTTCGTGGACTAAAGATGGACAGAACCTGACCCTGTCTGATTTTGTAATAAGTCAAAAATGTAATGGCCACAGATGTGAATCTCTACTCAACATGACAACAGTGGACTTTCAACACGAAGGTAGGACTCTGATATTTGCTTGAAATAAAATATTGTAACAACATTGAATGGAATCCTAGGTGAAAGGATTTGTAAAACGTAGAAGAACTTATGGATCAATTTCACTTAAACCATGTAATTTCATCTACTAAGTTTAAATAAAATAGATATACAGAAAACACGTTTTTAATGAGTTATTTGAAGAGGAAATTTTTCTAAAATGTCGATATTTTAAAAAGAATCAGAACTTAATTAAGCAAGAAAAAAAATCTTGTCAGGTGAATATGCCTGTGAAGCAGTACTGGATGAGTTGGACTTCTACGGCACTGGTACAGCAAATGCTTCTGTTGAGGTGTGGGAGAAACCTACCATTGCAATGGAACCTAATTTTACCACTGTCCAAAAGTATGAAAATATCTCAATCAGTTGTTACATTCTAAACGAAGACAAAGCCTATTATCTTCAAAATGATTCCTTGAAGTGGTGTTTTGCTGATGGCAGTGAAATAGCAGACGGTAAGTCATTCTGTGAACAACAAGTTATATAGGATGACATTCTAAAATTGATGAGATAAATGTATTGGAAGATAATATATACAAGTGAAATAATAATTAAGAGTCAAATTTATTTGACCTATTTCGAGGCAAGTATCGACTTCCAAAATAAACATTGAGGAGCTAATTTTTCTTTTCCTAATTTTCCTTCCAGTAAATAACAGCATTAACTTAAGGCAGTCCTATTTCTTTGAAATGAAGAAATCCGTGTCAATTAATTGTGGATTCAAAGACTGCCTCACAGCAGGAAAAACAATCAATATTACAATGGTTCCGAAAGGTTAGTCTTATTATCTCTTGTTCTGGAAATTTTGCATCTTGCCATTCAATTGTTGTAGTCATTGTGAAAGTTTGAATAAATTCTGGCATTGGCGAGGTTTTGCAACTAACTTCACAACTGTTCCCTACCTCTGTAGCTATATCCCTCTTTTACAATTAATCTTGACAAGTCAAAAACATTTGAAGCATGCCGACAATAATTTTCGAGTCCTTTACTCATATGTTTTCAGAAGAGGACCACCATTGTTTGGTACATGAGGCCAAATTTAATTCCTGCTCTAAGAATTTGAAGGCTAAATCGGGAAATACATGTTCTTGTTTTCTTTCAGAGGTTAATTTAACAGTAGAAATAAGGAAAAGTTCACCATACCTCGTGGGAGATTTTGGTCATCTGAGCTGTGTTTTTGATTTCGAATTTTCGAACTTTTCATGGTCGAGTCCCTCATTTTGGTGGACTAAAGATGGACTCAACCTAACCCTGTCTGATGTTTTCATGAGTCAAGAATGTAATGGCCACAGATGTGAATCTCAACTCAACATGAAAACAGTGGACTTTCAACACGAAGGTAGGACTCTGATATTTGCTTGAAATAAAATATTGTAACAACATTGAATAGCATCGTATGTGAAAGGATTTGTAAAGCATAGAAGAACTTAGGGATCAATTTCACTTAAACCATGTAATTTCTTCTATTAAGTTTAACTAGAAGATATAGAAAACACACGTCATTAATGGTTCAAAAAAACTAAAAGTTATTTGAAGAGATAATTTGACCAACAGTTTGATATTTTAAAAAGATCAGAAATTAATTAAACAAGAAAAAATCTTGTCAGGTGAATATGCCTGTGAGGCAGTATTGGATGAGTTGGACTTCTACGGCACTGGTACAGCAAATGCTTCTGTTAAGGTCTGGGAAAAACCTATCATTGTAATGGAACCTAATGTCACCACTGTCCAAAAGTATGAAAATATCTCAATCAGTTGTTACATTGTAAACGAAGACAAAGCCTATCTTCTTCAAAATGATTCCTTGAAGTGGTGTTTTGCTGATGGCAGTGAAATAGCAGACGGTAAGTCATTCTGTGAACAACAGTTTTTTAGAATGACATTCTAAAATTGATGAGATACATGCACATATATTGGAAGAAAACATATACAAGTGAAATAATAGTTAAAAACATTGGAGAATATTTACTTCACTTAATTAGATGTATTTGTTGAAACGGTGTTTACCTGACGGTAGTAAAATAAGAAATAGTAAATTTTTCATAAACTTTTATAATAATAAATCATAATCTTTTAGGAAATTCTTTTCTAATACTAAAAAGCTAGCATGTATTTGCAGATTGTGTCCATTTGTAAAGAGAAAAAATATCCAGAATATCATGTTTATGTGTTGCTTTGAATTAAATGTTTCAGTTGGTAAATATACTGAAATTAACCAGACCTACTCATTTCAAGTGAAAAAATCCATTAAAATTCACTGTGGATTAAACAATTGCTCAGCGGCTGAAAAATCATCAGCGATCACAATGGTGCCAAAGCGTAAGTTTCATATTGTTTAGTTTTGCAAATTCAACAGGTTAATTTTACATGTTTGCTGCCAAAGAAAATCTTCTTAATCTCTTATAATAATGAATATGAGTAAAAGGTCAATGGCATGCATTAAATATAAATATTTCACGATGTTTTTATGTCTTTTCTCCTCCTTCGTTACTTATCTCTACGTTTTATTCGTCTTATAAGTAAAATATATGGAGTTACGAAGAGAAGAGTGATCGATCTCAGAACTCTATAAATGAATAATACATGTACAAATTAGGGATAATACACAAACCATTGGAAGTTTCAGATGTACGATAAGGGGCCTAGAATGAGTGAACATCACCTTTCATTCCGTAACTCCCGTCGTAATCCCTGTACTTTAGTATTATGTATAACATAATATTAAAGGTATATTTGCAAAAACATGCCTGTTGTTTATTTACATATTAATATACGATCAGAAAATTGGATTGTTCATTTCATTCATTCATGAAAGTTTCATGAAGTCAATTGATGGGTTGGTCACACGACAAGTTTCAGAATTGATTATTTGAAATTGTATTACTCCGTTTACTGAAAATCGAGCTTATCAGTCGCTGTATTTAAAAAATCTAATTGATGTAAAAAATTATTCTCTCTGATTTTTTTAATGATGCTTTTTATCCTAAATATAAATGATAAAATGAGATATTTTGAAATTTCACAAAAATCTGCCCTCTTCTGTTAAAGAGTGTGGTCACACATTGCAGTTTTAAAGAAAATGAAATAGAAAATTCAGATGGAAAATCAAATGAAAAATAGCAACGTTTAAACGAACCTTAACTAACATATTTATAATTTTTATTGATATAAATTGAACTTATCATTGTTGCAGGCCTGGAACTGAATGTTACAATACGTGGATCACTGTTGATAGAGGGCGAGGTTGGTCACATTATGTGTTCCTTTTCCCTGAGTGAAGCCATTAACTTGACGTCTTCAAATGTTACTTTTATTTGGACTAAAGATGACAAAACACTAAAAAATACATCAGCATTGACAATTTCACATTCCTGTAATGGACAAACATGTGATTCCCGTATTTTTGTATCGTATGTTGACATTCTTTCTGAAGGTAAGGTGTATTTCTATTCAATAAATTCGGTGATTTGTTTATGAAGTTGAAAGTACAAACTTAATGCCGTATACAGGAAAATTTCCCCCCGTTTTTTTCGCCTTCGTAGAAATTTGTCAGATTAGTTTAAAGAGGTCGAATTATAAGAGAAAGTAGTTTATCTTAGAACTTTTGCGGACAAAACTTTAACGGGGCAAAATTGTTTGGGATTGGGAACGGGCGAAAGTAATGAATTTTAAAGTCTGACAAAATCACAGTAATGTGCTCTAGATTTAAAGCAATTCATTTTTAGCAGAAAATATAGGATTTTTCGTCCATATAAAAAATTATGTGACGTTTTTGAAGCACCTGAATGATAGAAATGCTGGTAATTTTGAGTGAAAGTAAAAGATAATTTACGTAATTTGTATTCGTAGTTTATTTTTTATCCGACAAGCTAATGAGCGAATGGGTTTTTCATTTTGAGAATTTTCCCGACGTGATAATTTTTGTATAGTATTTGAAAGGATATTTTGACCTGCATGCTTATTATATGTCACAAATATGCGTCATCTCTAATTTTTCTTCACAGACACCATCTGTTTTAATACCTGCCCTTTCCTTTATAACTGTAAACGTATTACATTTGGCGGTGTATTCTTTTGTACACGCTTAATATAATACATTTACAATATTTCAACAAAAGGCAGTTAAAACATTATCAGTAGCAAGACTGGACTATATAAACATGAAATTTCTTAAATTGCTAATATCTTCTGATTATATTTCTTTTCCAAAATGTGGAATGAGCTTTCTTAACATCCTTAATATGACTGATAATAAAAAACAAAAGTAAGGCTGATAATAAAACATTTTTTTTATTTAGGCACATACACTTGCAATGCCAGTTTGGATCAATTCGATTTCATCGGACATGGATCAGCAAAAGAAAAAATAGAAATGAAAGAAAAACCATATCTTGTCATGAGACCTATCACAGCTTCTGTTCAAACTGACGAAAAAGTTCTAATTCGCTGCTATGTTAGAAACATCGATAAGTGGTACCATGAATCAAACGAATCTTTGGCATGGTGCTTTGGCAATGAAAGTAAAATTATTACACGTATGTCATATTTTACTACTATTTGAATGCTTGCCAAATATACTTTAACACTGATCACAAATTGTACTAGTATATAAGAATACGAAAAAAAAATCCTTTTAATCGGTTGCAGAAAAAGGTGACGATTTTAACCAGTCCTTTGCATTCACTGTGACGGGCAATGTTGAGATTCGATGTGGAATAAACAGCTGTTTACCCGGGAATTCAACATCGTCTCATATAACCATGGTTCAAAAGGGTGGGTTTGTTTCTTCAAAACTATAAATATGTGTCGAGAATACATTTACTACTTTTTATAATTTTGGGGCAGCATGAGCAATAATTCATTACATGTATATATTGCGTGAGAAGAATATAAATATGTAGAAATAACTCTTGATATATTTTTCTTGTAAAAATTAACTAAGCTTCCTTTATAATTTTATACAACATTTCAATTTCAAATGAAATATTTTATAGGAAAGGATTTGTGTAAAGAGATTGAAGACTGGCCCTCAAGTCCAGCGGGCCAAGAAGCAACCATTCCTTGTCCTAAAGAATATAATGGTCAGAATTCAGCTATTTAAAACTTGACTTATATACAAGAAATATGAGTTGTTCTAAGTATAAGTTATACTAATTGATTAAGTTTTAAAATTTTAAGGCATACAGAAGAGAAAATGCAAAGAAAATGGAGTATGGGGCGCCATCAATACAACCAACTGCACACAAGAGAAGCTAGAAAAAGTAGAAAAAGCAATTGAAGGAATTAAAGATATTTCTGAATCAATTGTGCAGCAATCACTTACTGCGATAGCAGATGTCGTCAATTCGACCGATGACAACAATAACGTAGCACATGTTAATATAAAACAGAGCGTCTTGCATTATATCTGCAATATCCAGCAAAAATATAACATTTGAAAATAAAGCAGCTGCAGAGCAAGTAACTGATGTAAGTATGCATACAACTCCTTATTACATTGTTATTATATAATATTAATTACACTAAAAAAAATATTTTAACTAATTTGTTTTAAAACAGGAAGTATAGAAATGTAGGTTATTATGAAAGACAATTATTTCACCCAGAACAAACTATGTGTACATATGGTAAATGTGCATTTATCACATATATATATACATTATGTATAATTTATACAGTCAGGTCAGAGGAACATGTACAAAATAGAAAACATGAGAGAAGATAAAGGTGGGGGAGTGGGAAAATTATATGTATTTTTAAGTGACTGAAATTATGGTGTTAGCTATGAGAGTGAGATCTCCTTGCATTGAGAAAAAGAAATTTCCGAAGTTTTTTAAATATTGTATTAGAATTAGTAATCAATGTCTTAATAGCAGGAGTTCATGTCTATCATATTGCACGAATGTATTAAAAATGCTGAGCGACACTTGCTTTGGCGACGGGGATCTATCATTTTAAACATTTCTACTGTTCCTCATATAAATACCGGTTTTTACTACATTTTCAAATCGAGCCGCAATTTATTCATTCGTCTCATTTATGTAGAGTGTGTATTTTGACTTTAACTTATACATATCTAAAAGACAGTGTTAGACAATTTTCGGTCACATATATTTTTTAAGTCTTCAAACAACCATCGAGCTGGCTACAACTGATCCCCGAGTATCAATCTCTTTTGACCCGATTGATATAACCTAATCACCTTTTATTGATAAAAATTCATGGTTGCCAACGAGACACCGATAGTAATCGGACGGTGACTAAGGCCATTTTGCGAATCGGTGGGGGACATCAGCAGAAAATAAGTTGTAATTAAAAATCAGCGATGTCTCCTCCGATGCCTCATGTCGCTCCCCATCGGCAACCCATCACTAACACATCTTTTGATGATTGGCCGATGTTTGGCCAAGAATCGTCAAGTGTCCGGTGAATCTGAGGTCATTGGGGAGTTGAGTGGTGGGCAACAGACATCGGCCGATCATTGGTCGATGTTCGACGATACATTGGCCCATAGTCGATCGACGTACGAATGATGTTCGCCAATGTATAAGCAAGATAATGTAAATCGACCGATTACTCCGGAACATCGTTTTATGATTAGCAATGCATCGCTGGGCCTTTTATAAGTCCGACCTGCAACCACGCCATTTCAATCAACAATGCATTGTTTGCCCATCCTTTACTTCATCGTTGGATAATGTGACTGATACTTTAACGACTGCTAGGCCGATGTGGACCGATGTTTGAGGCATAGCTCACACCAGGGAAATCTGACTAATGTCTAGGTCACATTTCCCGGCCGGTAGCCGTAGACCGGTGGTAATCGTTGGTAATCCGTGGTGTTAACGATTCCCTAACATCGGTCCACATCGGCCTAGTAGTCCTTACAGAATCAGTCACATTATCCAGCGATGGGTATTCGATAGGTAACTAATGCCTTTTATGATAAAAATGACGTGGTTGCGGGCTGGACTTTCAAAGGCCCAGCGAAGCATTGCTAATCATAAAACGACGTTCCAAGATAATCGGCCAATATGTATTACATCGCTCATACATTGGTGAACATCGTTCGAACATCGGTTGACTACGGGCCAATGTTTGGTCGAACATCGACCTATGATCGGCCGTTATCTGTTTGACACCACTCAACCCCCCAATGACCTCAGATTCAACGGATATTGGACGATGCTCGGCCATACATCGGGCGATCCGTGAAAGATGTGTGAATGATGGGTTGCCGATGAGGAGCGATTTGAGGCACCGTTGGAGACATCGCTGAATTTTAACTACGAATTATTTCCTACCGATGACCCCACCGATTCGCAAAATGGTCTCAGTCACCTTCCGATCATTAGTGGTGCCCGGCCGGCAACCTCGCCATTTTCATCAAAAAACGCATCGGTTTCTCATCGTATACCCCATCGCTGGATAATGTGACTGATACTTAAAGTATCAGTTACATGATCCAGCGATGGCGTTTACGATGAGAAATCGATGTTTTGTTGTTTTTTTTTATAAAAAATGGTTGGATGCCGGTCGGCAACTTATAGAAATCGGACGGTGACTGAGGCCATATGACAAAGCGAATCTTTGGATGTCATCAGTAGAAAATAAGTTGAAGTTTAAATCAGAAATGTCTATACCGATGCCCCACATCGCTCCTCATCGGCAACCCATCATTAACACATTTTTCAAGGATTGGCCGATGTATGGCCGAGCATCGTCAAGTGTCCGTTGAATCTGAGGGTCGACCGCCGTACGAACGAAGTTAACCAATGTATGAGCGATGTTATATACATCGGCCAATTACCCTGGAGCATCGTTTTATGATTAGCAATGCATCGCTGAGTCTTTTTAAGTCCGGCCGACAACCAAGCCATTTTTATCGAAAAACCCATTGGTTGCCCATCGTATACCCCATTGCTTGATTATGTGACTGATACTTTAAGAACTACTAGACAGATGTGTACCGATGTTTGGGCATCGCTCTCGCCACTTATTACCACCGATTACCACCGGTCTAAGGCCACCGACCGGGAAATTTGACTAAGGCATAAGGCGTTTTTCACGTAGCATTCAACTGTTAGATAGGATTTCGTCTTGTATGTCTTTGGGAGATTATTGATGAAATACATGTGTCCATCGACGTATGTAAGTGCCCATACTTAAGGTAAAAAATTACTCTAAATCCGTCATATAAAACAGATAGACAGACTTGGAAATTTACACATTTAGAAAACATATCCATTACCAGTGTTCTTTGTCGTCGGAAAAAAGTATATATACAAGGTACCTCTAACATCTAACATGAATGGGACAAATGCCTTATGCCTAGGTCACATTTCCCGGCCGGTAGCCGTAGACCGGTGGTAATCGTTGGTAATCCGTGGTGTTAACGATTCCCTAACATCGGTCCACATCGGCCTAGTAGTCCTTACAGAATCAGTCACAATATCCAGCGATGGGTATTCGATAGGTAACTAATGCCTTTTATGATAAAAATGGCGTGGTTGGCGGCCGGACTTACAAAGGCCCAGCGATGCATTGCTAATCATAAATCGATGTTCCAGGATAATCGGCCGATGTATATTACATCGCTCATACGTTGGTGAACATTGTTCGTACATCGGTAGACTACGGGCCAATGTTTGGTCGAACATCGACCGATGATCGGTCGTTATCTGTTTAACACCACTAAACTCCCCGATGACCTCAGATTCAACAGATATTGGACGATGCTCGGCCATACATCGGCCGTTCCTTAAAAGATTTGTTAATGATGGGTTGCCGATGAGGAGCGATGTGAGGCATTGTTGGAGACATCGCTGAATTTTAACTACGAATAATTTCCTACCGATGACCCCACCGATTCGCAAAAAAAGACTCAGTCACCGTCCGATCACTAGTGGTGCCCGGCCGGCAACCACGCCATTTTTATCAAAAAACGCATCGGTTTCTCATCGTCTACCCCATCGTTGGATAATGTGACTTATACTTTAGTCACACTTCCCGGCCGGTTGCCTTATACGAGTGGTAATCAGTGGTAATAAGGCCTAGTAGTCCTTAAAGTATCAGTCTCATTATCCAGCGATGGGGTATACGATGGGCAACCAATGCGTTTTTTGATAAAAATGGCATGGTTGCCGGGAGGATTTACAAAGGCAATGTATTGCTAATCATTAATGCCTAGGTCACATTTCCCGGCCGGTAGCCGTAGACCGGTGGTAATCGGTGGTAATCCGTGGTGTTAACGATGCCCCAACATCGGTTCACATCGGCCTAGTAGTCTTTCACGTACATGTATCAGTCACATTATCCAGCGATGGGTATACGATGGACAACCAATGCGTTTTATGATAAATATGGCGTGGTTGCCGGCCGGACTTACAAAGGCCCAGCGATGCATTGCTAATCATAAAACAATGTTCCAGGATAATCGGCCGATGTATATTACTTCGCTCATACGTTGGTGAACATCGTTCGAACATCGGTCGACTACGGGCCAATGTTTGGTCGAACATCGACCGATGATCGGTCGTAATCTGTTGAACACCACTCAACCCCCCGATGACCTCAGATTCAACGGATATTGGTCGATGCTCGGCCATACATCGGCCGATCCGTGAAAGATGTGTTAATGATGGGTTGCCGATGAAGGGCATCGTTGGAGACATCGCTGATTTTTAACTACGAATTATTTCCTACCGATGACCCCACCGATTCGCAAAATAGCCTTAGTCATCGTCCGATCACTAATAGTGTCCGGGCGGCAACCACGCCATTTTCATCAAAAAACGCATCGGTTTCTCATCGTATACCCCATCGCTGGATAATGTGACTGATACTTAAACGATATTACCGATTAATCGGCCGATGTACATATATATTACATCGCTACTTCATTGGTGAACATCGTTCATATGTCGGGCGACTATGGGTCAATGTTTTGTCGAACATCTACCGATGATCGGCCGATGTCTGTTGCCCACCAATCAACCCCCCCCCCCATGACCTCAGATTCAACGGACCCTTGACGATGCTTGGCCATACATCGGCCAATTCTTGAAAATGTATTACTGATGGGTTGCCGATGAGGAGCGATGCGGGACATCGGTGGAGACATCGCTGATTTTTAACTGCAATTTATTTTCTACCAATGACCCCTACCGATTCGCCAAATGGCCTCAGTCATCGTCCGATTACTATAGGTGTCCGACCGGCAACCTAGAAATTTTTCTTTTAAAAAATCCCATCGGCTTCTCATTGTATACCCCATTGCTAGATAATGTGAATGATACCTAACAAAGTGTAGCTCAGATGTTAATATTTCACAATATTTTAAAAAATAATAGGCAGTACATCTTTTCATATAAATAGAGGATATCCAATGTGTTGTAGTTGAATATGGAATTTATTTCACGAGTGGGACAGGATTTTTGATATTTTCACGAGTGCGAAGCACGAGTGAAAATATCAAAAAAATCCTGTTTCACGAGTGAAATAAATTCCGTATTCAACTACAAAACATTGAATTTTCTGTTTTTTACATTCAAAAAAAATTCTTTGATTTTTCCTTTGCCTCTGTCTTTTTGTAATACAGTTATAGGCTCATGACGTCATAGTTGAGTAGTTGAGACGTCATAGTTACGTGAGGTGAAAACACTGTATAAACATGGATTTATCAACATATTTTGGTAATTTTGACAGTTTTATTCGCTGTCAGAATTGTTTATTTCCATCTATCTTATATTTTTTCACAGCAATCTTCGTTATGGGAAGGGAAATCGAGAGTTTTCCCGCACTTCTGATGTTCGTCACACTGCAATAGGATATCATTTTGATATCCTTTCACGCTGTGACAGGATATCATTTTTATTCAATGAATAAATTACAGTATTTCACGGGTAAAAATGTAATAAATTAATATATTAGCAGAGTTTTATTAGAATTCTGATAAGAAACTAGAGGTACTGTGAGCAATGAGCTCACTAAATGATACCCCCCGCCTCCCATAATGTCCATGTGTTGCTATACATTGTTTTACGGTAATGTGTAAAGAAAAATAACTCGTCCTATCAAGGTTATAATAATAGAAAACGATAACAATTGACAGACACACATTACATCATTAATATATGCTCATTTTGCATTCGTACAATAGTCTTAAATTACATGAATGAAAAGTCTAAACAATTATCAAATGAATTAAAGCGTCAAGCAGTTCTATCTAAGGCGTTTTGGAAGGGAGAAAAAATGTTATATATATATATATAGATGTATAATGTGGCATTTATTTATATTACAAATTTTCTAAACTAGTCTAAGATTATCTGAATTCTTGTCGGGGATCGTCAAATGTTGTCTTTAGTAGTATATTTAAAAATGTAGCAGAATTAACAAAACATACAAAATAAAACTTACATATTATGTAACATGTTTTGACTTATTCTGAATTTATACATGTTTTTTTTCATATGATGATGAAGAAATTTGTTGATGTTGTCAGTCAACTTTTAAATGTGAATAAAACCAAAGTAAATCAAGCAAGTGATGAAAAGAACGTAAGTAAATTTATTTTAACTTTTATGATCGTTTGGTTCCATCCTTCTTTCGATAAATATTGCGGGAAATGACATTCTATTGATAATTGTAATGTTTATGATAAACATTTTGAATTGTAGTTGAAAAGTAAGATCATCTTATCCGTGGACGGATTTGCCAAATCTGTGGCCAAGACACTAAATACGAACGAGGCGGTGACTGTTGAAAAGAAAAACCTGTGTATGTAAAAATTTAAATAATAATAATGAAATATTTTTTTAAAAAATGTAATTATTTAAGACACATAAACAGATGGCAATACATATTGGATAAGTATTTTATAATTTTAGAATAAAGTAGAATCTGAGATTTTGGTGGGGTAAAATTTCTTTCATTTTTTATCCACAAAGGTTTTGTGGGCATTAAATATCTTTTTTTTTTCTCGAAAGACTACTATTAAGTATACCATATGACTGCTTTTACGTTATGACTTTCTTTTTCTTTTTTGCTACCATTTTTCTTATTTGCAAAAAATAAAACACGCAGATATTATGTCGGTTATTCTCTGCTGTATTATTTTTTATCAATTATTTTTAATCGTTAAATTATAACAAAAAGTAAAAGATTTACATTATACTACTTTTCTGCGAAATTTTCAACGCGTGAAAAAGGGTACATTTAGATAAACTTTTCGTGTATCATTTACGTTTTCTGCTAATTCTCATCAAAGAAAGTAAAAGAAAACTAAAGTACCAACGATTCTTACTGCTCTTACGGTATCTATTAGAAAATTAAAAATATATATCACATGAAAATATTATAAAAAGCTTTAATTTCGAATCACTGAATAAAAATTTCTTAAAAGGTTTTTCTCTATTTTAGATCTAACTATAGAAAATGTTACGAAGCAAGACATAGTATTTCCCAAAAATGCATCCGTAGCCCAAAGCACCAAATTTCAATTACCAGAAAAGGCTCTTTCCAAGCAAGGTAAGCTGATGTCTTATATGTAAAATTTTTGTAGTAATGTTTCCCGATTTCCAGTTAGTAAACTAATTTATAAAAATAAGAATTATTCTTTGTCACTGTAGGTAGTACTGTTGCGTTTACCGCTGTTAAATATGATGATTTTGGATCTGATTTTGAGTTTGAGCACACACCAGGAAAGTAAATACTAGGCCTGAAATATATCCTTTTTTATTTCAAAATATTTTTACGCAAAAAGCTTTCCATATCCACTCATGCAGATTTTAAATGACTTTTGTAAATTAACTTCTTCTTGGTAGCATTTTATAAAATTATTTAAAATATCAGATAAACCTTTAAAAGTACCTAAAGTTAATGTTATAAAGATTCTAACAACTATTAATCCAGTGATTTATTGTCCTTTGTTATAAGAAAGAACATCAGCGTTGACTCGAGTGTTCTATCACTAACAATAGAAGACCTGAAGGACACTTCATTACAACCAAATAATATCACCCTGACATTTCAGCGAAAGAATGTGAGTAGATTTCTGATGTAATTTATAGTTACAACAAAGCTATTTACATATTTGATTATCATAACACGTTACTTTCATACACTTACTTTAAACTGTCAACTTAAATTTCATGGATATGTTTATAAATAAAATTTTATGTGCTATGCATGTAGAGTAATATGTTACTTATGAAATAAATTGGGAATACGAACAATATTTAGAGATCCGTGTTTCATGTCCTCGTCGCAGATTATTATTACTTTTGGATTTTGAATCGATCACTGTTTGATATCTTCAACTTTGATAATTTTTGTTCTTTAGTTTTCGATATATAATTATGATAATAATATTAAAAAGGAGAAGTTATGAAGGTTTGAATAATAATATTGTAAGGTAATTGTAAGATACAAAAAATAAGTCGAAGTTTGATAAGAGTCTAAAGTTGTATAAGAATGTACGAGGGAATTTATCAATTTGAAAATAGTTAATACTTTTGGTAGGCAAATAAACACATTTCTTTCCTTTTGTGACTGCTAATAAATTTAATTTTTAAATTTTAAATAATTGAATAGGAAGAAATAAATCTATGTATATTTATATATGTCATATATTTCAGAAAAATGAAAACAACGCATCATCAGATTGTGTGTACCTTAACTTAACAACAGAGTAAGTAAAGTAAAAAGAGGATTTCAACATAAATTCCAGAGGAAAAATGTCATTGTTAATGTACATGTATTAATAATGGCACATTTTTCGTGGTTAATAAATACATTACGACTACTTTGTAAAAAAAATCATATATTTTCTAACTTTTCTAAGTTTTTTTTTTTTTATATAAAAACATGTTCATCAATTTTGCTGTTAATCTTCATTTTTATCATTTGTATTTTAACGGTTAAGTTTAATTGAATAAGGAAATATGAGAAAGTGATGTTTTGGTCTTATTAATGTTTGCCTTTTTACATATGGTAAAAATATTGTTAGGATTTTTTTATCACAAAATTATCTTTAAATTATCGTAACTGAACAAGAATAATCTAATTCTTTATAATAAATGTAAAATTTAGTATGTGGAGCAGCAGGGGATGTAGCGTCAATTTCACTAACAGTTCCCTTACTGTCTGTTCCTGTAACCATCTTACTAATTTTGCCATTCTAATGAGTTTGTCGGATGATTTATATGTGGTAAACCTTTAATTTTATCAATTATTAACTGAAAATTTTTAAGTTCATACGTTCCAATTCTTTGGAATTATTCAGAATTGCTCAATTTTTAAATTTGTAAATATATGTATTTCATTGTATTTATGCAATCTTTGCAAGATTATAAAATAAATTTCTAAGATAGATGTTATTTGTTTTAAGGTATCTCGGAAAGATTATGAGAGATTAAAAATGATTTCCATCATCGGTTGCAGTTTATCTATCATTGGAGCCTTTGTAACGATCATCATATATCTGTATTTTTGGAGGTAAAGGTTATGATATTTTCACTAGCAATATACACTTTATAAGAGAGAAGGGGTAGTATTATAAGATAATGAGGTAGAGAGAGCCTTCTTGGTACTTATAGATGGTATTTGTATTATAATATTTTTCTTTTGAATAGATATATAAAATCCCGTCGATCAACGTTGGTTGTCCACCTGTGTATTGCACTTTGTGTTGCATATCTAATGTTCCTGACAGCAGTAGAACACACAGAAAATAAGGTATGTATGAATGATAGAAAACCGTCTTTGTGTATACAAGATTTCAAAATTGTGCTTTCAAAAGCAATCTGGTCCGTACAGTATGTAATTACTTGCATTATAAATTTGTATTTTTAATAATAATATTTACCATGATATACACAAGTAATACTTATGATATTAATATTTTATTGATATATTTACACTTTTGTCTCTTATTAGATCGGTTGTGTTATCATTGCTGCGTTATTACATTACTTCTTCCTGGCTATGTTTTGTATCATGTTGGGTCTTGGTATTGACCTAGCAGTGGCTATTCTCGATGTATTCAATTCGAGGTCAAGCTCTACAGTCTTTTACCTTCTTGGATGGGGTAAGGGCAATCAAAATTATTACCTTAGTAAATTGAATGTTTGCATAACCCACATATGAATAAACCCTTGATACAAATACTTTAGTCTAATAAATAAATGATTTTAGATTAACTGTTGGAAAAATATAGCTCCACAAGAAAAAAGGAGCAGTTAAAAATAACAAATATTAAAGAATATAACAAATGCATCAATTACAAAATATCATGCATTCATATGAATGCATATTTCATTAGATCGTGAACTACACTGTATAAAATGGAATTTCCATTTCTATAAATAAATTGTTAGTATCACATTACAGCCAGAATGTAGCATTTGCTAACTTTCATACATACTTACATATAGTACATATTTTTTCAATCTTTACGTAAACTTATCTGCATTTTTCTGTGAAAAAATATTGCTCAAAAGTAGTATCGTTTGTGTATGTCAGAAAAAATGGGAACCAACTCTTCTCGTTCCTCCTGAAAAAGATATTTTTAAGTTTGGGAAAAATCATTTATTTTTATTTATTTATTATTTAAAATTATGTATTTGCTGGTCGGGCATTTTCTAAGAAAGTTGAAGTTTTTCTCTGCATGGTTCCCCCTTCTTCTTATACGATTCCAAGTCACTGTTCTTAGCTTTTTATGTTCCTTTTTGTAGGGTTACCAGCGGTCATTGTAGGTATTACACTTGGTGGATCACAACTAGACGGATACGGGGATGAAAGATAGTGAGTAAAATGTGTTTTTAAGTTATACGAGGGTTGTCCCGTAAAATCGTAGACAAGTTGTCTAGCATGAAAAATAAACATCACTGGGTTCCTAATTTTTCACTATTATTTAGTACATATTTTAGTAATATACACAGCAAATTTCAGATAAATATATGCATAAATAAACGAATTATGAGATTATATGCCATGTATTGTTTCACCTTACGGCGCATGGATTATAACGTCATCGTGGCTAAAACAGCGTCACGTTTTATCTTTGCTGAAAATGAAGTTGGATTAGTCCGACTTAAATTTAGGAATTTCATTGATACACATTCTTTAGTCTCCATAAACAGTCGAAGAACCAATTGGCACCCTCATGCGATCTTCTCAAGATTTTAGTAAGTTACGGACAATATTCTCACCATCATTCAACTAATTGAAAATCTCATATCGGCGGTCTACTGTGACAGCTTCTTTTGCTATTACATAAGAAGTTTGTCCGTATGTTTTTACTCCCCAGGAACTCGATCAAAAAAGACTTCGCTAAGAAAACTTCTATTTCATTTGTATACTTAAGATATGGTGATATATTTTATAATCTTTTTTCTTCTATGGTCATTTCAAGTCTCTACAAGTGTCATTTCAACATCGAATTAAGCTGAACTGCTCTTCGGTGCACCGTAACGTCATAAAACGTCGCCACTTTTCCTGTGTTGTGTTTACCACTTTCTCATTTCGAATGCTCGAGAAACTGCCAGAAATTAACAAAATGGCTTAAAATTTTTACAAAGACTACAAAATTGATTGTGGAATTGAATTAGGATAATTTTAATCCAAATCTTATGTATTTTAAAAATTTTATTTTGAATTCAAACTTGTGTAATTCTTTAATAAAACCTTACTTTTTTGACCGTGTGCTGTAGGACAATACTCCGTGCACATTCAAGCTTAATAAAATCTTTATTTTTGCCTATATTTTATCAAAAAAATTATCATGCACTTAAATATGATAAATAAACATTTACTGAAATTTTCAGCTTAGTGCGCCTATTACTTTTCGAGAAAAACGCTTTGTCCACGATTTTACGGGACAACCCTCGTACATGTCTGATCAACAATTAAAAATGATTCCAAATAGTTAAAAGGAAACTAGGAAACTCACCAAATGCTCTAAAATAAATTTTGCAATATATGTACATGTACTGTCATTTCATATCTTTATTCAATAGCTGTTGGTTAAGGGATTCTTCGTTATATGGATTCATAGTTCCAGTCTTGTGTATCATCTCGGTAAGCTAAGATATTTATCCCCATTACATTGATTTAGAAATACAGAAATGCCAAAAACATTTTGTTTGCTTTGTTTATATATTTCTGAAATACTCCAGGTTAACCTAATAATCGTCATCGTTGTTATGAGAATGATGTACACATCAGCTTTCATGGCGAAGAAATCACTGAGAGAAAAAACGATGTAAGTAAAGGAAAACATTAATCATAGTTTTTATGCTCACTTTCTTTGGATACCCGTGAATATTCTAGCTTGTATGATATCAGTAATGCATATACATTTGTCATATCTTTAGACCCTAAAGTATAAATAAATTTACGGCATGATCAATAGTTTATTAGTATATAAAATTCATTTTTTGAACTATTTTCTGACCGGAAGGGAAAATGGGCATTCATGTTTTAAAGAAATGACTGGAATGAAAATGGATATTAAGGATTTTTTTTTACTGAAAACTTAATTTCATTTATTGAGGAAAATTACAAATGTGTTACTAAATTAAAATAAAATTAAGATGTACAAACAAGTAATATTCATGATATTGATTAATTTCATTTACAGAAGCGGCGTTAGAGGAATGTGTGCATTGCTTCCCATTCTGGGTTTGACCTGGGTGTTTGGAATT